TCCTCTGCCTTTCTATGTAAATTTTAGAATAATCTTGTCTATGTCTACAAAACACCTTGCTCGAGTTTTAATAGAATTATGCTAAATCTATAGCTCAGTGTGGGAAGGGATTGATATCCTTATTTGTTGGATCTTCCAATCTATGAGCATGATATGTCTCTCCATTTACTTAGGTCTTTGATTTTTTTTATTAAAGATTTTATTTATTTGAGAGAAAGAGAGAGAGAGAGAGAGAGAGAGCACAAACAGGGGGGAGGGGTAGAGGGAGAAGCAGACTCCCCGCTGAGCAGGGAGCCCAATGTGGGACTTGATCCCAGAACCCCGGGATCATGACCTGAGCTGAAGGCAGACGCTTAACAACTGAGCCACCCAGGCAACCCAGGTCTTTGATTTCTTTCAGCAGCATTTTGGAAGATGTAGCATACAGATCTTGTACATATTTTTTAAACTTCTACCTTAGCATTTCATATTTTGGAGTGATTATAGATACTATGGGATTTTATCTTTAATTTTTTTGAGAGAGAGAGAGCAGGGGTAGAGGCAGAGGGAGAGAGAATCGCAAGCAGACTCCATCTCAAGTGTGGAGCTGGACGCAGGGTTCAATCTCATGACCCTGAGATCATGACCTTAGCTGAAATCAAGAGTCGGACACTTAACCAACTGAGTCACCCAGGCGCCCCAGTACTATGGGATTTAAAATTTCAATTTCCACATACTTGCTTATAATATATATAATATTTACAATACGGATTATAAATATATATGTAATATACATGTGTATATGTCTGTAAACATATGTATATGTATATGTAAGTGTGAACGATTTTGTGTGATCTTGCATCTTGAAATCTTGCTGAACTCACTTGTTAGTTCTCATTGTATTTTGTAGAATTCTTCAGATTTTTTTACATAACCATGTCATCTGTAAGTAAAGGCAGTTTTTATTTTTAAGATTTTATTTATTTGAGGGCGCCTGGGTGGCTCAGTTGGTTAAGCAACTGCCTTCAGCTCAGGTCATGATCCCAGGGTCCTGGGATCGAGTCCCGCATCGGGCTACCTGCTCTGCAGGGAGCCTGCTTCT